AGTGACAGGAATGTGTGGCGCCCTGCTGAGTGGGGCAGAAATGAAGGGAAGGAGGGAACAAGAAAGGGCAGAAGTCAAGAGGAAATAGCCAGATTAATTCCACTCCGGACACAGGCAGCTTTCCAAAGGGAATATTTGATTTGTTGTTTTTCACTCCGCAAACTTCTCTCTTCAAGCGCAAGGAAAGACGGAGCGCCGGCTTCTGCTCACTTACAGCAGTCGCTGGCCTCCATGAGTCATGCGGCCACGCCCGTGGAGGACGGGGGTCGTGACCTCTGCTGCCTCATTTGGAGAGTCTGGGCTGACTACTCGGCTGTTCATTAGAGATAATATATGCAGCTGGATTAAACTAAACCATAGTAAGGTCACATGCAAGGTCAAGCGGTATCCAGCCAGTAAATGAGTGCCTTTAAGAGTCGGGTGGCACCGTTCTGGGCCGTGTCTGTTTACAGGTGAGGTTCATGATGACAGAGGGACTGATGCTGTGACCCTGGCCTTTCAATTTATCCTGTGGTGAACCAGGCGACCCCCAGGCTGTAACCCCATGCAGCGCTGGCGTTTCAGTAGTTTTGCTTCCTCCATCTGCCAAGGGACTGGACCTCTCGCCTGTGGTAATCACCTCACACTTTGCCCTGTCTTTTAGCACCACAGAGTAATGATGTCTCAGCCTCCTGTTTCCAGGTGCCCCGGACAGTAACATCTCACTTGGTCCAAACAGAAAGCGCTTAAAACTAAATCAGTGTGAGCGTATGCGTGGAGACGGGGCGCCGCAAAGTGACGGCAGGCAAATTTGGCAAAGGATTCTGGGATTGCTTGTCTTTCTTTCAGCTCATCAATCTGGCATCATTATCCTCGTCAGGTTCTGGCTTTTCAGAACAGTTTCCTGCGGCGAGAGTCCGCCGGTTTTCCCAAGCCGACGGCCGCGGACGATCAGAGCCGCTAATCGTGCGATCGGTGTCCCTGCCGCGAGAGCGTAGGCGCGGAAATCAAGCTATCCCTCAGCATCTCCATGACTGCCGTCGAGAATTCTGTCAAGAAGTCATGAGGACCCCCCCAGTTGTTCATCAGGGTGGGGGGGGGGTGGTTGGTGACAGTAAAAATTGTCAGCTGGGGGTGTGGGAACCCATTGGGTGGGTAGATGAACTATTTGGGTGGCTACTGCCCTCCCCCCAAGCCACCCACAGCCACACCCCTGCCCAACTCTGACTGCAGTTTAGGCGTCTTGCCCTCTACCCCAGTTTTGATGGTGCTTGCTGGCCATATTTAGTTACAAAGCTCTCTGGAGTTGGTGTGCTTCATGGTGACAGACAGGAGTGCCCCGTGGTGACCCACAGAATGAGATAACCTGCCTCCTCACCATCACACCACTGTGCATCCCATAGGTGTCTCATAACCGCCACGTTGCCCAGCAACAGCAGAATACAGACAGTTGGCTCTCTTCAAAACTTTATGCCTCATGTGGCAACCAGTCCGACACAGACTTTTGTAATTATTTTTTTGTTATTATACATATTATGTAGTTTCCGTAATGTGAATTTGCAGGGAGTTTGCACAGCACTTAATTAGCGCACTTGTGTTGCTTAAGTGCGCCGCGGAGTCGTGCGGATAATTGCCGGCTTGTTCCATCCCTCGCGTGGCGTGGAGAGCCGGGGGGCGGGGCCTCGCTGCTTTAAGTATCGCTGCCAGACGAGTGGCTCTTTCATGTCTGTGCCGCAGTAACGGCGGGAGATGTAAATAAGATGTGCTCGCCCCGGCAGATTACCCTGCGTGGGGTTTTACTGACTAATGCGACTGGAGGAGTCTGTGCTTTCGCCCGGCAACCAATCGCCTTGGCAGCTCAACACATCTCCCTTTATCCAGCACTGGGGCCTTTGAGTTAGGCGATCCTTTCATGACAGTGTTTACTCACATTTTACCTTCTGGTCTCGCCCCTTCAAAAATCTGCAGTCTCATATATGATTCCTGATATTTGCTGAGGTTGAAACATCATTCTCATAATAAGGAAAAGGAGCATATTCATACTGTAGACCCCCATAGGACTTGTAAGCATCATACAACAGCCACTGATCATTTGGGAATTTTTTCACTCTATTCTTAAACTCCTATCACTTCTGTATCCAAATAGTATGAGTCTTGGTGTATGACCTAAACATTGACAGAATGCAATAAGAATACATGTGGCCTTTGTTAATACTGGCAGAACGCTTTCTGCTGAGCCCGTAAGTCGTTTCTGATGGGTGGATTTGCCCATTGTGGCTTTTTCATCTCAGCTGCCTCTTGGCCTCCCTGCCACGTTTATGACCCGTCCCGTATGTGTTCCTTTCCTCCTTTTTTGTGTGGGGAGAGAAAAAGTCTGGAAAAGTTTTGTACAATGAGAATCGATAAAAAGAAAAAAAAAACAATCGCCAGATGCCTCTCGGTAATTCTGCGTTTGACCCAGATCGTACCAAGATGAGGGAAAGGCTTCTTAGAAAGCGGGAGACAGTGGGGGAGAGGAGCTGATTTTTGTCTCTCTCTGGAGGCTACAGGAAGATGATGACTCCACAACAGGCAGACGGGTTTGGTCAATTGTTTTATTGCTTTAGCGCGTCTGACAGTCTGCAGGCAGAATCGTTCTGAAGCTGAGTGCTCTTAAATGATGGAGGGGGAGAAAGTGACCCCTTTTTCACAACGTGTCAGACATGTGGTGCTGCTTATTCAGACAGAGCAGCTCTGACATCAGGGGAGATTTTAGCATTTTTTTAAAGTTGGGGGCATAAGAGGGGCCATAATTGATACACAGGGCCAGCCTTATCATTAGCCAATGATTTGTTTTGAATTGGTGAGTGACAAGGGGTGGGGTACTTTGGGGCCAATCAGCTTTCAGATGGGACCAGTGCACCTGTTGTAGCCCCGTCCCTGTATACACCCTTGTCTGGCACTGTTCCCTCCCAGTGCCCCCCTCCAGGTGCGTTCCCTGGCCATGAGAGGTTGCCCACTGGGCCGCAGACTTGCTGTGATTGACCCACTTTGCTCCATCCTCAGCCCCTATGTCCCCGCAGGAGATAAGACACCATAAAGGGGCGCCCTCCCCGTCCCCACGGCGTCACCCCAGAGCCTCGTTATGGCGTTTGGTCCTGGGGGAGCACTAACAAACCCCCCATGGAAGCATCCGGCAACAGCAGTCTCCATGATTTATCGTTTATCTTTTTGAGGGCTGTGGGGTGGAGGGCTTGCGGGGGGCGGGGGTGGCGGGGGGGCGGTGGGTTGTTGAATTTCAGGTTAAATTTCCCTCCTGCCCAAGATTTATGACCTATAGTTCACAGCAGTTTTACCTTTACTGCCCGCCCTCCCCCAACCCAAAAGTTTAATTATTTTATGGTTAAGTCACAGACTGGACTGCATATCATCTGCACCGTGCTAGGGCTCCCTGATCTAATCTTTGGTTAGCCAATTATCCCAGAGAACTACAATATACCGTCCATTTGTGTAATTACCTTCCTCCTAAGACTAAGCCTTTTCTGTATTACTGTTAGCATCAGTGACAAACCTTCGTCTGTAGTCAACCTATCGGTTTCACTACAAGTTAAATGTCCGTTTTAAGTGCTGCTGCCTCCACATCTAATACCTTTGCTGTAATAATATGTAAAAAAAAACATATTTAAATATTTATGTGTAAATCAGGTTTTATTTCCTTACTGTGAAGTACAGTGCTTTGTGGTGATTTTGCAATCAGCTTATTCTTGGTTTGTTGGTGCAGTAGTCTTCAATCTATCTGACTATCTGTCTGTCTGTCTATCTATCTATCTATCCATCCATCCATCCATGTATGCCTCCCCACACTCCCCTTGCAGATTGCATTCACTCGTGTCCCTTAGCCACGTCTCATTGCGTGTCCATCTGAGCTGTCATCCTTAATTGCTGTACCAGCCTGGAAGACATCAGTCCACTGATCCTCCTTCCGGCCCCTTAGGAGATTACGAAACAAATTCCTCGATTTTCCCCGGGATTAACTGAGCGCTCCACGCCCAGTTGTCTGCACAAATCCGGAGTAATCGGGTGACAGCCTCAGCAAAGTTCTGTCCTCCCCCGTGGCAAAGCGCTAATGTACACCCCCTGCCAGCGTCAGATCCAGTAATCCATGTCAGAGATGCTGATTTCACTGCTGCCTTTGTAGCTCTGGACGGAACTGTCTGTAACGCCTGTGCTTTACCCTCACCCCGCGACAGTAGCTTAGCAGTAATGAGAGCTTGCCACTTAGCCGGAAGAACGATCAATAGGATTGTAAGACTGTCATAATGAGTGCAGGCACACTGTTGATTCAAGAGAAAATGTACCTTTGAAAAAAATGGATTCTTTAAAGAGCTCAGCCCTTTTTAAGTATGTAAGGAACTCCGTTCCGAACAAATTACCCAGCTGTCCTCATGTTTACTAAGTTTGTGATGCAAGTACCCTCTTCATAAATACTTCTTTTGCAGATCTGTCTTTGAGAGTCAGGATTTTAATCACCACTATTCTGTGATCGTTAGTTCTGACCACTTCGGGTTTCAGAAGTTTTCATAGTTAATTTCAGGAGTTCAGTTGTAGAACTTTCTATACTGTTTGGAGCTCTGAGTCCTCTGGTTTCCCCCAACAGTCCAAAAACACGCTAAGATGAATTGGAGTTACCAAATTGCACGTAGATGTGAATGGTATCTGTGTGCCTTGGATAGAACTTTCTAGAATGTTACCTCGTGGCAGTGTGTGGCCTGTGTTTGTCCCGCATGCTTCCCTTCACTTTGGCACCCCGGGTGATTTTATTGCAATAATCTTTCAGTATTGCAGCCCCTGCGACTTTCTCACCTTTGTGCCAGTCACTTGCAGGAGAGGCCAGATGCCCCCCACCTGCCCCCACCGCCACGCCACGTGTTTAAACTGACTGCATGCGATGCCGTGTCAGTGTAACATGTTCTGATTGCTCTTTGTGCTTCTAACCTGCTGCCTCGTCTGGGACGCCGCTGGAAAATCGCTGCCTTTGCTAGTCGCATGTAAGTATGCGCCTCTGTCTCCAAGCCTTCCTGTTGCTGCTTTGCCGCATTTTCAAAAGAACCCACGGCTTGTTCTTTTTTAAGAAAGAAAACAGGTGACGTTACATGTATAAAGATTTATTTTAGCCTCGTTTTTCCGTGTAAGTGTGTAAGTACGTGTCATTTTCTTTGCTATACTGCTGACACATGCTGCTGACTTTAATCAGTCGGCAAACACTAGGTCACATGATGCCCCCCTCAGCATGGTTTGTCCCCTGACAATATCTGCAGTTAGTGCATGTCTCAGCTCACAGTGATCTTCAATGTGCTCTGTGATACTTCCTCCTACCTTACGGAGGAGGCTCTCCCTGCCAGTAAACCATGTTTGGGGCGGGTTGTCTCTCCTCCATCCCTTCCTCGCTCACCCATGGGTGTGTCGTTCTCTCCCGGGTGACAGGTGATTTCGGCCGACATGCAGGAGAACCACGTTTTTCGTCTGACAGGGAGGGGGGTGGACCAGGACCCCAAGGGGGTGTTCCGAATTGACAGACTGACCGGGGAGGTCGCTGTGCTCCGGGCCCTCGACAGAGAGGAGATCGCCATATATCACGTGAGTACTGTTGATGGGTTGGGGGAGGGGGGGTAAAGCAGTTGGAGCCTGGGGGCTGGTGCACAGGTTGCAGGAAGGGCTGGTTGCCTAACTTGTGGTAGTTTTATAGGAGTTTCAACTGTTGTTAAGATCAAAACAATAGTGCAATTGTAAAGACAATCATTTTATTGACAAGCTCTTAGAATGCAGGAATGAAAAGATCCTTTGAAGTTTATGGTTGCTGTCTGGTCTCTGTGTGTGGTTGTGTTACAAAAAAATAAAATTAAATATGATGCCCCTCCCCATCATCCCAGCCCACAAAGAGGCTGGTTCACACCGTGACTTTTATATGCTGTAATGCTGGATGTTTTGTATGCACCAAAATGGGTCAAGGAGACCTGGAACTTAATGAATGCTTCTTCTTAAGAACCTGCGTGCAGTGTGTCTGTAATGCAAGTTTGCAAGATGAATGGGTCTACATTATTTTGACAGAAGCATGGTGTTCTGTGAACAGTGTGCGAACGAAATGTGTGTGAGTGAAAACTATTCACTGTAAAAAAAGAAGTGTACGGCCTGCTTGCATGTTTCAAATCATATTTACCTTACTATGCTTGTCAAATTGGGTTTGCTTATCTAACGAGTTTAACTTATAATTATATAATACAAACAATAAGAATAAGAAAGAACGTGAATAAATACCAATAAAGAGTGTAAAAAGTTTGTTAGTTTTGTGAAAGTCCTGCACGCTGCCAACACAAGTGCAAATCTAGTACATCTGTCTCCATTTCATTGATAGATTCAATCTGCTTCGGGTTAGTAGATCTACATAATGTGTAATGTGTTTTCAAAATTTATGGTGGCATGTCTGAATAAGTCATAGATTTTTATTTTGTTTAATTGTTTTGTTTTCTCATGAACAATATGAATAATGTATCTTGAGCTAAGTATGTACCAGTACAGGGGGTAAAATGGGGGCAATATTTCATCATAAAACCGCAATATTTTGCATATAGATGATTGAAAATGTGGTACCAGGGGAGTGTATGCTGTGTTATGGAGTGATGGCAGCTATCTTTACATGCTAACAACCCATGAATCCTCAGGAAATCCTCCGGAAACAAAAGGAAGTCTGTCTATCTTAGAAAAGCATACAAAATTGGTGAAGACTGAGGTAGAGACCACACAACTTTTTAAGAATCCATTAAAAATTCTTTTTTTTCCCTGTACTACTTTGTTTGATTTTTTTTCTATCATATTTTCAAAGAACCCTGTTACGAAGAAAAATGGCTGTAAAATTGGTTTTAACATTTATTCTCTTTGAATGAATCTATAGTTTCTATGATAAAATATTTATTTTTTTGGCCTTTTTAAGTAAATTGAGTTATGAGATAAATCTGCTTTATAGTATATCTAAGAATCTGTCAGCTCTTCATTGTAAATTGTCAGTGAAAAATGTGAAATATAATTTGTTAGTGGTATTATTTATTTATTTTAGCTATACCAATTAGCGATAAAGCTCTGGAAGGCATTCACCACACACATGTCCTGAGATTTCTTATAAATTTAGATTACCCACGATGCATTTGTGGATGCCATTTTGCACCCACTTCCTCTTGTACTGGTTAGATTGCCCCAGATACTGTATAAACTGTGCATAGTAGAGGGTTAGGGTAGATGTTGTTCTAAAGCCATTAGCTTTGATTATACACAGTAGTCTGATATGTCTTCTGTGCATAATTACTCAGCAAAGCTACAGCATAAAGACCATGGGCAACAGAGCCCAACCAGTCATTTATTCACATAAACAGATCTGTAAAAAATATTAAATACATTTACATTAAATTAATACATTGATATGACTAGCATGAGCCACATTTTGACATATAACTTTATTGTATAATTTAATTTGATTGAACTTAATATGTTTAATTTGCATTTTCATCTGCAGTGGTTAGCACTGTTGTCTCGCACCTCTGGGACCTGGCTTCGAGTCTCTGCCTTGCTTCCATGTGTGTGGAGTTTGCATGTTCTCCTCATGTCATTGTGGGGTTTCCTCCAGGTACTCCAGTTACCCCCCACGGTCCAAAAATGTGAGTTACCAAATTGCCCGTAGAGTTGTATGTGTGAGTGAATGGTGTGTGAGTGAATAGTGTGTGAGTGAATGGTGTGTGAGTGAATGGTGTGTGAGTGAATGGTGCGTGAGTGAATGGCGTGTGAGTGAACGGCGTGTGAGTGAATGGCGTGTGAGTGACTGGTGTGTGAGTGACTGGTGTGTGAGTGAATGGTGTGTGAGTGAATGATGTGTGAGTGAATGGTGTGTGAGTGAATGGTGCGTGAGTGAATGGTGCGTGAGTGAATGGCGTGTGAGTGAACGGCGTGTGAGTGAATGGTGTGTGAGTGACTGGTGTGTGAGTGACTTGTGTGTGAGTGAATGGTGTGTGAGTGAATGGTGTGTGAGTTAATGGAGAGTGAGTGAATGGTGTGTGAGTGAATGTGTGTGAGTGAATGGTGTGTGAGTGAATGTGTGTGAGTGAATGGTGTGTGAGTGAATGGCGTGTGAGTGAACGGCGTGTGAGTGAATGGCGTGTGAGTGACTGGTGTGTGAGTGACTGGTGTGTGAGTGACTGGTGTGTGAGTGAATGTGTGTGAGTGAATGGTTTGTGAGTGAATGGTGTGTGAGTGAATGTGTTTGAGTGAATGGTGTGTGAGTGTGCCCTGCAATGGGCTTGAGCCCCATCCTGGGCTGTTCCCTGCCTCGCGGCCATAGCCTCTAGGATAGGCTCTGGACTCCCCGTGAACCCTGAATAAGACACATGGTTTCAGAAAATGGATAGATGGATGGCATTTTCATCTGACCTGTATGGGTGCATTTGCACCTCCTGGACCCCCAGTAAAATCGCCTGTGGTAAAGATAGTCAGCGTGATGGCATGCGCCCATCACTGATGTCTTCGTCTGGAGACTCGTTGTGCTGCGGTTGCTCTAAGGACGATGTTTCTCTGCTGGATGAGCAGAAGTATCTCAGTCCTAACTCTTGGGGTAAATACAGGCCTTTAATCTGTCACAGCGATTTTGCATGGCTGTGGGCCAATCACGGATTAGGGGATAACATATGCTCTGCATTTGGCTACTTCCTGCGGACGGGTTGCAGTTGGCTGTAGTTTTAGGAAGACATGTCGCTCCACTCGTGATTGGTGGCACTGATCACCTGAGCTCAGATTACCGTATTATCTCCTTTAAATCCCCCCCTAGGTTTTTGCTCACCATATAAATTAAGTGACAAAGTAATACTTAGTAGTGGTTTGGTTTTATAAAGTCTGAGGACAGGATCTGTGATGGCTGAACCGTTCCAGGTCGATAAGATCGGTCCAGCAGCTGTGTGTGTAGCGAGAGTCACTACAGGAGCTGGTATAAAATCCACATTATTAGCATGGACTCAGGTTCCAATATAACGGTTGGTTAACTCTCCCACCTGCACAGATTTTCTGCCCTGTGGTCTAATGCTGATAGGGATGGCAGGAGACCCGAAGCAGCTGGGGCTAGCTCAGTCCGCTTTCATTAGTCACGCCTCCAATATGAGGCCAAGGCTTCTGGGTAAATTTTGTCTGAAAGCACTGATGCGGGATTCGTTAACTGATCTAATTATCAACACCAAACCGTGCTGCACTGTCAAACATGAACAGCGGGTAATTATATTCTTAAACAGAACACGGCTGTGGCCGACCAATGAGGACAGAGCTTCTTATCACCACTGGTCATGAGGTCATGTGTTGTCATTCATTGCTCTGGATGGAGTCGCTCTGACCTCAACAATAGCTGTCTAGTTCGACTGGTAATAAATGGCTGGAGATACCAGCAGATATTTCCCTTGAAGGCAATTCCTTGATTCAGTTCGGAATGAAGGTTAGGTGGTGTTTTGCGGCAGTTGTTGGTGAATTTTTAGCACCGCGGATGGAAAATCTTCAAGAGCGATAGCCTAGCACCTTTCCGGAACAAAGGATCTCTCTCAAAGGAGAAAGTTAGAAACAGTGCTTAGTGTAAGGCTTAGAAGACATGTGAACCTCTACTCAGTCCATGTTCTGCTCTTTTAAGGATACGCTCACTGTCAAACTATCACTAAATCCTGCTTGGCTATTG